TCTTTGATAATTCACACTGCGTGATTGTCACTCGCGTGAACGAGCACCGATTTTCCTCCGATTTCGGGCATTTGTCGGTGATTTCGCAAAACCTGTCGGCGAGTGAAAAATCGGGCTAAAATCGTGCAGTGTGAACTCGGCATAAGGTTTGTCCAAGAAGTCGCTAGATTTGTCGCGACTCGCTAGTCACTTTTTTGGAAAAAAGTCGCTAGGGGGTCTGAAAAGTCGCTAAATCTAGCGACAAAATTATTTTGATTGACTTTTAATGTATTATACTTTCAAGAAAGCATTTTCATTGGGTTTGTGAAAGCTGTTTTTATGCATGTTTTGGCCTGAGTTTTTGTTGCATTTACACAGCGTTGACCAGCAGGCGTCACCAGCGTGTGCTGTTTCGAGCGCTTCAAAACAGTGAATCATTTTGCGAAGCAATTGATTCAATTGATTCGACGCTTCGAAATGGTTCGTTTCTCCCATCACTACAGGCTACTCATAAACCGATACATTTTGCTGTGAAACGTGCTAACGTTACTTGCATTTAAAGACTCCATCCTCCGAGCATTTTATTTTTTGGTTTTGTTTAGCATTGTTTTCTTCTGTCCTCGCTCCTGTGGGTGAGAATGAATTACAGCGCATTACCGCCCCCTACCGTAAGCTACACCTCGTTTGTTGTTTTCCGTCTAAAATGAATCACAATCCCTAAAAAGGGGAACAAGTTCTCCCGTGCGATTTTTTAAATGGGCAGGATTCGAAAACGATTTTAATTCTCCATGCTTTTAATGTTACAGTAGGTGGTGTAGTGATTCAGCTGAGAATTTTGTCCAGCAAGGGGCGCTGTAGGAACCGCGGCTGGAGGAAATGACGTGAACTTGAGGAAATGACGTGAGCAGCAGGAACGACTAGCTAGCGGCGCTTGGAAGAAAGTGTGTAGTCACTGTGTGTAACCCGGTCTACAGCATAACATTATCAAATCGTATAAATAGTTCTTCATATTAGTGCCTGCTTTTTACATTTGCCAGCATGGTAAGTGAACACGTTTGAAGAATTACGTGTGTTTGTTGAATGTATTCGTCTATATTAACACTGTAGCTCATTTGCCATCTCTTCTTTCCAGTCGAAAATTGTTAGAAAATTTGTCCTAACCGGCAGTTTATATTGCTTTTTAATAAGGAACTTCTTTGTTAATTAAATGGACTTCACATGCATAATAAGCTTTGGTTGTATGGAGTGTGTGCTATAAACTTGTAATGGAGTAATATTTGACCAGCAGTATCTGTACTTTCACATGGAGTTGTGTACTTTGTCCGCCTCTGTTGGCACCAAAGAGAAAACCATAGCTGGAAATGGAAGGGAATTAGTGCAACAACAAATGCATTCAATCAGTGTTGATTCGTTGTTGTTTTTTGTTTTTTTGTTTGCTTTAACTGTAATGGAGTGCTACAGTGCCCACCCACTTTTCCTGCTCTGGAAGTATTTTTCCCATAGGGATTTTAAAGTCTAGCTGTGTCTGAAATTGCATACTGTAGGTATAATATTTATTTTGAAACTTACTTCACTTCCATTAAGAAATGATGTTCTATATAGTATAAATACGGGTAGTTTGAATGAAATTTGGATGTACTATATCCACCATGATGTTACTGTCATGTGACCTACCAGTGTCAGTTGTGTCACTTCACTGCCATGGGATAGTAAAGTGTCCATCGAATACACACTACAGAATTTTAACAGAAGTAGTATGTCATCTTACTTGGGGTACTTTTAGCCTAATGTTTTTCGAATAATATGAATTTGGACATACTATTTTTTTCACACACTTTTCTTCACCTGCTATATATTATGAAAGTAGGCATATTTGGATGCAGTGTTTAAGATTTATAAGCCTTAAAACGAAACCAAATAGCTACAAGGTGAATCACAACATTACAAACTTTGGTCTGAAGCAACAAAGTATTTGAAAATCAAATCAAATAAATTAATAAAGAAGAGAAACTACAATCCCATGAAGCATTGCAAACTACACACTCAAATTAAAAACAATGGAGAAATATAAAACTATTGACTATTATTCACAGTGCTTCATGGGAGTGGGTGGGTGCTAAAGTGTTCTTTTTGTAGGATTAGCTTGTCTCAATTCTCTGATTGGTGGATATTTCTCAGCAGAATCATGGGTAATGTAGTTTTTCACCAGGAATTCTGCTTTTGAACATAATTATTTAAAAAAGTTGAAATAATGTGGGCTGATTGCTTTAATAACAGCATATACTATCGATTAACAACCTCGTAGCTCACAGTAGATCTTTTTTTACGTTTATACGTTATTCTGTTACACCAAATACACAAAATAATGATCTTTAAAATAGCCATCATATGACCCCTTTAAAATCAATTCCCCTGTGGAGAAAATGAATAGGATTTTTACTTATGGAACCCAACTGATCCAAATTCATATTTTGTAGTATTTAGGCCTACTAAACCCAGTTTCTAATAGGGTCCTGCAAACATACATATTTTCAAAATCAACTAGTCCGGGACCTACAATAATGTACAGTATTTGAAAAATAATGTGTTTTTTGAACATTAAAGCATGTCAACATATTCTGTTACACCAAATACACAAAATAATGATCTTTAAAATAGCATCATATGACCCCTTTAAAATCAATTCCCCTGTGGAGAAAATTAATAGGATTTTTACTTATGGAACCCAACTGATCCAAATTCATATTTTGTAGTATTTAGGCCTACTAAACCCAGTTTCTAATAGGGTCCTGCAAACATACATATTTTCAAAATCAACTAGTCCGTGGGTTGTTATAATGACTAATCAATGTGCATGCAATTTCGTGGCATTCCAGAGTTTAAATTTCAAAAACACAGAAAGACATGCGACCAATAGAAGATTAATTTAGATCTTATCTAAATTAAAAGAATGCAAAATTTTAATCTGCAGGGTTGTAGTACAGTACAGTAGAGTAGAATAAATACATATTTTTACATTTTGGATGTAGTAAGTGTTCTGTTTTTAAAAAAAGACTGCAGAGTGTGACCATTGCATCGTCTGTAGCAGTTTCATGTGTTTAAAGTCTAGTGTGACTACAGCATAATACCGGTATAACCGGTTTAAATGCAGAAATCGGCAAGTCTAATGTTGACAGTACTTGTAGACCTGCTAAAAAGCACAGAACACTGTCAAAATCTAAATCAGATAATCAGATGTTGTCAGTCATCCAGTCATTCAACCCTGTTTCTGAAGCACACCAACAGTACATATTTTGACCCATTTATTTTAGACCTTGATGTCTCTACTAAGGAGCTGATGGGTTGAATCAGGTATGTTAGATTAGGAAGAGATTGTAAAATGTGTACTGTCGATGTGTTTCCAGGAACAGGGTTTTGATACACTGATATGTAATGTTTAGCACTTTTGTCTTTCTCTGCAACATTGCTAAATAGAACATTCCCATGCGCACTTTGTACAGAATTGCAACCTGTCATGTCCTTGTCTCAGGTTTGGGCCATACTACATTGAGCCTGTGATTGCTGGTCTGGACCCAAAGACCTTTGAACCCTTCATCTGTTCCCTTGACCTTATTGGATGCCCAATGGTGACAGAAGACTTTGTTGTGAGTGGAACTTGCTCAGAGCAGATGTATGGCATGTGTGAGTCGTTATGGGAACCTGACATGGTAAGTAGAGGAGAACAAGACTGCGTAACTGTATTGAGCATGAAGGCTGATTTATCTGATCTCGGCCTGGTAATCTCATGGACTTGTGCTGTTGATTGTGTTCTCTAGAAACCAGAGGATTTATTTGAGACCATCTCACAGGCCATGCTGAACGCTGTTGACAGAGATGCAGTGTCTGGAATGGGAGTCGTTGTTCATGTCATGTAAATATATTATCAGATGTCATCAACCTTAGTTATACTATGGCAATCTGTAACTCTTAACTGATTTTAATCTGCACAAAATATTATGTCATGATTGTCATATTGTTCCTGAACTTTATGAACATTAAGAATTTTTAGTTGCTTTATTCAATATTTTTTTGATTTATTGTTGAATTGATTGTAGTAGTGCATGGTACAGATTGATTAATGAATTTCAAGACAATGAAGTTTTTAATTTTTACATTTCTAGTTGAATTCAGTGAGCTAATTGGTGTATTTTTTTTTTTTCCACAGTGAGAAGGATAAGATAACCACACGCACCCTGAAGGCCAGGATGGACTAGAGAAAAATACTACTGCTATGTTTCCTCTCCTACAACCCCATTTTTTGTACTGAAATAGAATTTGCCTTGTTCCATTTGTCATCATAAAGATCGAATTGTTCAATAAACATTTCTAATATTTACTCATTTGCTAGTTATGTGGTCAGAGTTGTTTATAAATGATTATTTTTGTGATCTCATTTCTTAACATTTTAAAGTCATTTTAAAGAAATGAATTTGTTCCCTAAATGCTTATTATAGATTTTATTGTGAACAATTGATCCATGCATGTTTAATTTAAAGACGTTTGCAGGATTTCTCCACACATTTATGGGGAGTTTACACAACGTTTTCAACTAAAAACAGAAAACTTTTTACATGTTTTGGCCATTAATTTACAAGACAATGGCATTTTGATAAGAATAAAAGAATGATAAGAATAAAAGAATTGCCCCCTTTTTAGGATATTTTAAAGATAATTGTAAAAACCATTAAGCTTCACAGATCTCTATTGAAAAGAGTTTAAACAATTTTTTTTTTCATACTTGTTCAACAACCTGTGGAACAGTCCTCACTTTAAGGTCACAGTTACAATAACTTAGAACATTAAAGAGAACTTTCTACTTGAACACCAGAAGAAAGATGTCCAGAGACCCTGATCACCTGTGTGAACATCCCATAGTGTATAATGCCACAATATATAATTCCTATTTTTATATATACAACATATCTATAATTCCTATTATTCACAATTAATGGTTGAAGACAGTGGTTGTATAGTACAATCATAGTTTCAATATTTAAGTACACATTTTCTTGCATGATAGTCTACATCACAAACATCATTGGAGAAGTTGTGTAAAAACTTTGACAGATGTGTTCAAAACTATTAACCTTGTGAAAAAAAACCCTCATCTGACTGACCACTGGGTTCTTTTATTTCTTATGCCTACCCTAAGACTTTTCATACTTTACTTTTGTCAGTGGGTCTTTTGTAAGCAAAATTCTATGTTCAGCTTCTTGTGCATTCCATTGGTGCATGTTTCACAGCAAACACAATATTCCTAAAAGTTGAACTGTTAATCTATCTATTTCTATGTATTAATATTTATTATAATTATACTATATAATTTCATACTTTCTGATACATGTTCTTCACATTTATGGTTAAAAAAAGGTGATATTTATTAAATGTTTTTTTTTTTCTGTCAGGAATGCAAAATCAACAGTAAAAATCAGCTGGTATTGATATTTTGAACGGAATAATGAAAAATAATTGATTTTAACCCTTCCAGTTAGAGAACTTTCTACTTGAACACCAGAAGAAAGATGTCCAGAGACCCTGATCACCTGTGTGAACATCCCATAGTGTATAATGCCACAATATATAATTCCTATTTTTATATATACAACATATCTATAATTCCTATTATTCACAATTAATGGTTGAAGACAGTGGTTGTATAGTACAATCATAGTTTCAATATTTAAGTACACATTTTCTTGCATGATAGTCTACATCACAAACATCATTGGAGAAGTTGTGTAAAAACTTTGACAGATGTGTTCAAAACTATTAACCTTGTGAAAAAAAACCCTCATCTGACTGACCACTGGGTTCTTTTATTTCTTATGCCTACCCTAAGACTTTTCATACTTTACTTTTGTCAGTGGGTCTTTTGTAAGCAAAATTCTATGTTCAGCTTCGTGTGCATTCCATTGGTGCATGTTTCACAGCAAACACAATATTCCTAAAAGTTGAACTGTTAATCTATCTATTTCTATGTATTAATATTTATTATAATTATACTATATAATTTCACACTTTCTGATACATGTTCTTCACATTTATGGTTAAAAAAGTGATATTTATTAAATGTTTTTTTTTTTCTGTCAGGAATGCAAAATCAACAGTAAAAATCAGCTGGTATTGATATTTTGAACGGAATAATGAAAAATAATTGATTTTAACCCTTCCAGTTAAATTTAGCACTGCTAATATAAATAGCTTTTGACAAGTGACCATGATATAAGTGGGATTACAATGATTACCACCATGGGTGATTCTTTAGCTCAACGTTTTACATTAAAATTGTACAATGCACACCTAGCTGTGGATTATCCCATACATGCATACATATAACTGGTATTAATGCATACCATGGCAAGCTTGGTTCTCGGTACTGTTCTTGCATACAGCAGCCTGGATTAATTGCCAGTATTCTCTTCCCAGTTTGAGATATAATTGGGATATTGACAAGGAGAGATGTAGGAGAGATTTACAAGATGTACAATGCTTATGAATAATGGGAAGTAATAAACTGGGTAACAAGTACTAATACATTCAAACTCAGGTATTTTTTTAAATAATTCACAAGTAAAGATCTATGAAACGAACTCAGCCTCTGTATTTAATGTCACTTTTCCATTACTGTGTTTGTAACTGTAATAGCAAAGTGCAACGAAGACCTCGTTTGTTTAGACAGAGAGGGGATTGGTTTATACTCAGAGCATTTTATTAAACATATTTATATATAACAATGGTTTGCAATCCTTGTCCTGGAGACCTGACAATGATCTGAATATGCACGACAAACAAAATGTGCAGTGCTATGGGTCCCCAGGACCAGGGCTGAAAACCACTGTTCTATAAGATCAGGGGTGTGAAACCCCATTCCTGGAGGGCCAGCCTCGAACCATTTAATCAAGCTCTTTACAGGCGACTATGTTACATTAGGGTTGGTCTGCAGGACTGTAGTCTTCTAAAAGCAAAGTCTGACACCCCTGTATGACATCTCAGATCATAATTAAGTCCACTCACATAGTGTATGGTCCCAAGGGTTTTATGAAAGGCTCACTGTAGCTAAACACATTTCTTTTAAATAAAGGCTTGTGTCATAAATAATGAAGTCGCCTAATAATATAAAGCATCTCTTTTCTCGCAAAAGAACTACTTAAAGCAAGACTGTACGGGGTTTTACTAAAAATAAAAACACAAATTAGCTGCCTTAAACAAATAATGGCAAAATCACTAATGTGTGGCTTTTAGTGGTGGGATGTGAAAAAAAGCAGCGCTGTTTTATCATACTAGATACATTTGAAAGTTGTGTTATTATGCAACTCTGTGTGGTTGTCACCGGCCTATTAAAACGCACAACATATTAAAGCGTCTTTGGGGTTTCCATGTTTTCTACAAAATAAAACTGGAAATCGAGGGGTTATGACGTCATTGGCAGGCGACACAATGACACTATGGACACGGTCCGTGTCACTAGTTAAAATTGCTTATTTCTCTGGATTTAAACATTCTTCGCAACATTTCGGATAATGTAAGTACACAAGTCAGCAAAATATATAACACTGTTCTAGTGGTTTTTGGATATTTTAATTAAAAAAATCTTACATATTGTGCCTTTAAGTGTCTTGCTGGTCTTAAAAGATTGCAGAAATCATACAATAAGAGACCAATGTTAAAAAAATAAATTTATTAGTAACAAGAATCAGAATGGACAGTTCTTCCACCAAGTGATATAGTTTGTTTACGGCTGCTAAGCAATTAAGCAACCTAGTGCTTTAACATGGTTACAGTTATGCATTTTTTAAGCATTGAACAATAGCTCTTAACATCAAATCATAATTTAGAGTAAGAACTAATCTTGATACATTTAGTTTATTCCATGACTAACATGTTGTATGAACAGTTCTAGAACCACTAGTCTAAACTTTAAAAGTAACACATTTTTTTTTGTTTGCATGTTTACTAAGAAATAAACGTTTACCTAAGCTTTTTGGTGGCACATGCTTTTTTGTGGAATAACTTTGTAATATTTGGGGGGGATTAAAAAGGGACAGAACATATATCCTATTAACTATACAAAAAATAAAATAAAAAGAATCTATTTACAATAAACATCAGCAGTGTTACTCCATGAATTATTCCAAAGCAGTGGTGATTTTGCTGTTGTAACGTAAAAGGAGTACACGCTCAAAATGTTCATCTGAGAGGTGATGTCCTTTTGGGGTCACAATATTGCTCCCATTGTTGAAGAGCTGTTGTACTGGGACACTTGAGGGTAGAGTTGTATTGAACTTGATGAACACTTTTTTCACTCCTGGAAATTCATTTAAGCATTTCAGATCTTTGTTTGTGCCCTGAAGATACAGCCACACCTCTTCCGCTGCTTCCCTCTTTCCACCTTTGTTGCCAGAACTTCCAGGTCCATACGAGAAGAATTCATCCTCATGAACAGAGCCTCCATTGGTCTCAGTTTCTTCGGTCCCTTGGTCGACCTGTAAAACTTCAGTGATCAACTGTGCTCGAAGACTCTCCCTCTCAACTTCTGGTAACCACCAAAGTCTAAACTGTGGCATGGTTGCTGTGGCCAATCTGGCATTAGAACTGTCAAACACCTGCTTGAAGCGAGAGTCAATTGCCTTAACGGTGCTGTCAATGACCTTGGAGAAAAGGCGGGTGTTTGCTGCCTTCTCTTCGAGCTTCCTTTTAAGAGTCAACAACGTTGGTATCACAATGCCAAGGAAGCACTTTTCTTCTCCATGTAGAAGGTCAAGCGCAAAAGCCACTGGTTTGAAGACGTCAGTATATTCTGTGAGATACGCAGATTCATCAGGTGTAAAACGTGGAACACCCAAGACTTCGGTCAATTCATTGAGCTGTGAATCAGTAAGTGACATTAACTTGTTAATGGTATAGTATTCTGAGCTCCACTGATTCAGACAAGGAACTGTGAATTTCATTTTTGCAATGGATTCCATTGCATCAGCAGCTTCAGTGGAAGTTTGGGTCTTGTGCCATATTGCTGCACATTTTTCAGTTGCGCTGCTGTGCAGTTTACCTGCCGGTCCCTTTGAGACGGCATCCGCTAGATCCTTTGAGGCAATCAAGTTCAGTGTTTGAGAGGCACACCGTTGGTGGGGTGGCAAGAAATAACTCAGAAAGAAGTCTCCACCCATTTCTCCATCACAAAGAATACTGCCCAAATCCTCAAAATGACTTTGCTCCACATCTTGGTCATCCTCAGAAGGGAATTCTTTGAAGGCTTTAACAAAATTGTTACCATTGTCAGTGACGGTGGCCTGAACTTTGCTCTCGATGTTATAGGAAGAATGAATTTCTTGAATTTTA